AGACGGGCTTACTCTCACTCCCCTACCCCCGAAATCCCATAGCCTTGTAGAAGTTACATAGCAGGCATGCACACAGCTCTGTTAGTCTCCTGGTCTGTTTTGGAGGACCGCGGTGCATGTAGGGGGCGTGTCTTCCTTTCTACTCTGCTTCCCACACTGCCAGCCAGTGAACTATCGTAAGCTCAGAAGTTTGTAAATATCCAGCGCTTATAACTGCCCAGGGGTTACTTGCTCAACTCCTTTGTGAGGTCCCGTGACTTCCGGCGGCCTTTTCCTCTTTTGCCGCTTCTCACTTGGGATTCCACATTCTACGAATTAGTCTCTAATGCCAATGCGCAACTTTTCTTTCTCCTGGATTGCCTGCTGTTCTAGCAGTTGTCCACCGCATCAAATTTAGCGCTGCCATTTCTCAAAACCTTCCTTAGATCAGGGAAGACCTTCCCACTCGCTGTCCGTATACATCTGAACTAACAATTTTGTGTCCACAGTGGCCTAAGTAATTTCAGTTTTGGTGTTTTCTGTATCTGAGACAAAGCCTCATGTAGCCCAAGATGGCTTTGAATGACTCCTGGTCCTGCAGAGATTACAGGTGTGTGCCACCACACCTGGCTCAAGTAGCTACTTCTGTCTTTCTTGAGGAGAGGGGTGAGACACGGACTCACAAAGATCCACCTGCCTGTGTCTCCCAAGTGCTAGTATTAAAAGCGTGCACTACTACAGTCAGCTATTTCTGAATATCTTTGAGAGGGTGATTTTGCCACCTTTGTGTCCACTGTAACAAGTACACAGTGGACTTTCACAGCATCTTTGCTGAAATAGGAGAATAGTTAGGTAAACCCTGATTGAGTAAATCTTAGATGGGGAGTACAGTGGGCCAGTTGTTCATATTCCCCAAAATCACATTTGTACTACTGTAGTTACCTTGTATCTTCTCCCAGCTGAGAGCAAGTAACATGTTTGTCTTGTTCTGCAGCTGCCTTAGAGAGCCCAGAACATTTCCTCTTTTGTTTCTGTCTTATAGGGAGGGGTATGCACTCCGAGGTGGAGATGGTGGTGTCTGAAGAGGTTTGGTGAAGTTTGTTCTCATACCTTCAGGACCAGTTGTTCAAAGCCACCTTGGACTACAAGAGACCTTGTCTCAAAACCCAAAAACAAACAAATAAAAACACGTGTGTGGAGGAATGGAGAGATGGCTCAGAGTTTAAGAGCACAGACTACTCTTCCAGAGGTTCTGAGTTCAATTCCCAGCAACCACATGATGGCTCACAATGAGCCAGATTTCTTTTACTGATTTTTGCCTGCCTCAGCCCTCCAAATGTAATGAGATCTGGTGCCCTCTTCTGGCCTACAGGGAAACATGCAAGCAGATCACATACATAATAAATTAATAATCTTTTAAAAAGTGTATACTACTTTTGCAGAGCACCCAAGTTCATTTCCCAGCACCCATACACAAATCACCAGTAACTAACTGCAAAGAGTCCAATGCCCTCTTCTAGCTTCTCTGAGCACAATCTTCTCTGACAACCTTCTCTTCAGTTGTACTCCTGATGTAATGTTTTCCCAGCCACGATGGAACAGCAAGGGAACTTATTTCCCTTAAACTGTTGCTATTTTATTACAGCAATGAGAAACTAAGAGAAGTGTCAAACCAATTCACAACTTGCCAAAGCTGCTTCTCTCACTAGGGGGAATGGGACCTAAGTGTTTTGTCTACCTTGTGGGATTGTGAGAGCACCAACTATTATGTGTACACCATGCTGGAAACCAAACAGCCCCCAAACACCTTGCTGGCCACAGTACTTAGCCAGCTTTCTTTTACTGATTTTTGCCTGCCTCACCCCTCCTAAGCTAGAGCTTTTTGAAGACAGACACCGCTGAATCCCTTCTCAGGGCCACAGCACTGTTCTCTAAGTGGGACAGTAATGGAACTGAAGTAGCTGGACAGAGTGCTAATAAACAGCAAATAAATGAGGACATTAAGAACCTCTGATGAAGAAAGGCATGGAACTTGTAGTCACTAGTCTGTATTTGGCATATCAGTTTAAAAAAAATTCTTTGAGTCTCCATAGCAAATTGTATTAAGAAACTGAATATGTACAAAATTTTAAAAGAAGTGATAGACATGAGCCTGAGGATATGGATATAACTCCAGTGGTAAAGTGCTTGGCATGTGAGAGGCCTTTAATTCAGTCTCAGCATCATAACAGATTAAATTTACTATAAATTTTAATCTGATATAAAATGTTAAAGACAAACATTAAGAAATAAAATGTGATGACTCAATTCAGTTTTTTAAATACATGGAGCAAAGGGGTTTCCCACCAACCTGATTTGCAACTGCTTTGTCTTCTAAGAACCACCCTTCAAGTTGAATAAACATGTGAACAATGGAAGATGATTGTCACAGATATGCTGTTTACTAACTCAAAGACCACTACACTCATTCAGGGAGCCTATCTTACTCATCAAGTTCCCAAGCGTAACATAAACTGTGATATTCTGTGCTTCTCATGGAGAGGTTTCTTCCAGGATGGCCAGAGGCAAATGGACATGGTAGGTGTGTCCATTTAACTCTCAGTGTAGCTATGTTGCAGGCTCTACATCACCAGCATAAAAAAGCACCTTTTCTAGAGGCAACATCCAACCAATAGCATTGATACAAAAAAAAGTGGTAAATCCTTAAGAACGGAGACACTGTAGGTGACTAAAACTACAAACACAGGAGAAAAGGCTATTAATCTCCTTTTATAGGGCAGTGCCATGTTAATGTTCCATGTACTCCATGAAGTAGGACTTTCAAACTCTTCAAACGTCTTTGAAATAAGGTCTCATGCCCTGGCTGGTTTTAAACTCACTCTGTAATCCCAGTTGCCAGGATTAGGGGTGTGAGTCACTATGCTTGTTTTTCTTTTTAAACCAGAAAAGTTTTTCATGGCTGATTATTGGAATCTTCAAGATGAACTGCAACAGCTACCTCTTGACTTTAGATTGTTCCTTCACAGAATCCATGTCTGAATATATGATAAATAATTTTAGGTGCCTCATCTACCCAGTCCCAACAGTGTTTCATCTCTTAGCTTTGGCACTCCAGTTATACTTTTTCTTGCACTTGGCAGGGTATCCACACTTGCCACAGCAGCAGGACAATATGTATCTTATTGCAACGCTTTCCAAAAGACGATGTTCCTTTTGTCATTGTGCTTCTGCTACTGAGGCCATTGAGCCACCATATTCAAGGCTGAAAATTATATTATTCAGATTCAGCCTTATTAATGGAAATTTAAAATATAAAACTATAATTAATATATCTGAAAATTACATATTTTTTCAGTTTTTTCCAAAATACATGCTTCAACAAATGTAAAATTGATTTTAATTCACTTTTGTTGCTAATACCTGCTTATTTGTACCTTGCTTTTCAAGAGAAGTCATAAAACAAGGAAGTGAATAAAAAATAGAAGCTTTCCTGTTTACAGAATGGGACTTCTTCCTTTGGCAAAATGCATCAGGCTCTCATACGCCCTAGTGCTGAGCACAGCACACTTTTTGACAGTTGCAGCCTATGGTGTTCCAGAGCTCTGACCCCCTGAGATGTGGGGGACAGACAAGGCAAGCTTTCCCTAAGTGGCCCCAGGTAGGTGCCCCAGTGATTAGTAACCTGGCTTAAAGTAGTCAGTCCTTTAGTTTATAATTGGCATCAGGCAAAGGAAATGAGGGGCTGTGCTAAGCTAACAAACATTCCAAAACCTGCAGTAACTTCAGTGCTTCAGACATTTAGAAAGTTAAAATTTTAAAACTGAATAAGAAGGTCTGGTGACAGGTACATCTTAAAACAATATTTCACATTCTTTGTGAAAAAAGGCATGTTTCAAATAACTGAAGTTATGATCCACGGGTTTCATACAGTCTCTAAGCCCTGTTTTCTCCAATGCTGTTTGGTTTTAAAGTCTCTCAGACAACCTATCAGTAACTACTGCTTTATTTTTGTTTCTTTTCAGACAGGGTCTTGCTATGTATGTGACGAAGTCTTCACAATCCTCCTGCTCCAGTTTCCCAATAGCTGGGATTACAGGTTGTATACTGTGACAGCTCCAGGTTGTATACTGTGGGACAGCTCCATTATACTGACATAAAACTCTGTTTGTTCATTAGTTTTCTGTAAAGCCCATTGGGCTTCAAAAGTAGCTCTTCATGTGTCCCATGTTCAACGATCTTTCCTTGGTCAAGGACAGCAACAAAATTGGCATTCTTAATAGTGGACAGGCGGTGAGCTATGATCAACACTGTTCTTCCTTCCATCAGCCGGTCAAGTGCCTCCTGTACCAGATGCTCATTTTCAGCATCCAGCGCACTGTAACAGACAAGGTCACACACAAGAGGAAGCAGAGATGTCAGAGCTGCACACATGGTTGCACACATTATTGAGCTACTCCAGCTTGGACACACATACACACACATCACTGGGACACCCTCCAACATGGATACATACAATAGACACTCTAACATGCTTACACATATTCCAGAGATACTCTCACCTGGTTGCTTCATCAAGGAGAAGAATTTTGGGGTTCTGAAGAAGAAAAAAGAAACATGATTTATTAGCAAGCATAGCTCTGGGCAGTAAGAAGGAACAGCACGGGCTGGTGAGAAGGCTCAGCAAGTAAACACACTTGACCACCAAGCCTGACAACCTGGATTTGATTTCCAAATCCCACATTATTAGAAGGAGAGAACTGACTCCCACAAGTTGTTCGCTGACCTTTGAGTATCCTTCACCCCAAGATAAATACATAAAATAAAAATATTTACCATGCCTTTAATCCCAGCACTTGGGAGGCAGGGGCAGGCGGATCTCTATGAGTTCGAGACCAGCCTGGTCTACAAGAGCTAGTTCCAGGACAGCCTCCAAAGCCACACAGAAACCGTGTCTCAAAAAACCAAAAAATAATAATAATAAAACTAAAAAATTAATGTTAACTATTAGAATTTAAAAAGACAAAAGATATGGAGATGTGGCTCTGTGGTTAAGCTATGTTGTTCTTCCAAAGGACCTGGGCTCAATTCTCAGAACCCATATGGCAGCTTCTATTAACTCCAGTCCCAGAGGTTGATGCTTTCTACTGGTTTCCATGGGCACCAGACACAGACATACATGCAGGCAAAACACTCATACACATTTAAAAAAAAAAAAAAGGAGGAGGAGGAGGAAGAGGAGGAAGTTCTGACCTATATGGTGGTTTTGCTGCCCCTGGCAAACAGTAAAACTGTCAAGTAGTCAGACACAAAAGATCTGTGAGTCCGCCCACATGAAATGCCCAGGCAGGCATCAGGCCAAAAGGCTGAAGAGTGGCCTTCCAGCTGATTTAGAGGATGACAAGAAGAGGGGAGTTGATAAGGAAGGACCCTGCTGAGTGACAGAAATATTAGACTGTTTCTATCATCCCACGGTGAAGGATGAACCAGTTCAGTGCACCAAGACCCACAGAACTATATTTTAATGGGAAATAACAGAATAATAATAATAGCGATGATGACTATTTAATCCCAGCACTCGGGAGGCAGAAGCAGGCGGATCTCTGTGAATTTGAGGCCAACTTGGTCTACAGAGTGAGTTCCAGGACAGCTAGTGCTGCTGTTACACAGAGAAACCCTGCCTTGAAAAAAAAAAACTTAATAAAGAGAACCTGTTCCTAAGTATCTGCATGATTGTGTGATGGAGGTGATTGCATCGAGCTGAAGCCACTGTCACTGAAATCACTAGATGGAATTGGCTTAAAGCATTGTTACCTGCTTGTGAGCTAGGAAACAGAATCTGAAACCAGCAAGTTCAGTCTTCAGCTATCTTCAACTCCTTCCAATAGGTTAAGAAATGCAAACTAATGCATAACGCAGAAAAAGTAAAACTGAGCCAATGTATACATCAAATTCTCCTTTCCCCCCCTAAGAATCTATCTGTAAGAAATGAAAACCTGTCAACAAAAGGTACTTGCCATGTTCAAACATTACAACAACCTTCAAATCAACCTAGACACAAATGGCTCATTGATTAAGCAACAGGATAAGGAAGAAGTTCTCAACAACACAGGGAATGAAGACATTTCGGAATGCTATGAGCAGAAGTGGAGATGTGTACTGTCTGTTTCTACTGTCTGGACTGTCCAGAAAGGCAAATCTAGACAAAATGTTCCATAGCATGGCATCCTGGGTAAGATGGAGAGTTAGACTGTATGGACAAATGTGTACTTAATCAAAGTCACTACAAAGTACATTTAAACGGGTATCCTATGGAATCATGTTTCCATGATGCCATTAGAAAATTAGAAATCACTTATATGCTGAGGAGAGTAGCAAGGGGATATTTGTTCTGCCCCCCCCAAGGGATTTTGGGGCAGGGTTTCTCTGTGTAACAGCTCTGACTGTCCTGGAACTTGCTTTGTAGACCAGGCTGGCCTCAAACTAAGAGATCTGCCTGCCTCTCCCTCCTGAATGCTGGGATTACAGGCACGAACCAGTACTGCCTGGTAAGATGTTGCTTCCTTAAAAGAAGAATATCTGGCTCCCCACAAGAGATTCTTCCTGCTCCTGGCTAGAGTCTGTCTGCCTAAGGCTTCCAACCTTTTGTTCAGCAGAACAACTAAGGAAAGGTTAGACATACATAGTAGCATCACTCTGACATTTTGTTAATAATCAGTCACCAGTCAATTGATTGTTCTAGGTAAAAGGTCCATTTGTTAAATATTTCCCCATGCTGACACTCCTTTAACACTGGACTCTTGAGAAATTTCTCAAATATGACAAATACTTGGACAATGACTCCCAACTTACCTTTTTACCAGACAATCAGCCATATATATTATACATGCATACATACATATACACACACACATGAACAAGAGCACACACACACACACACACACACACACACACACACACACACACACATCCCCCTCAGGAAAATAAAGGTAGAAACTGGTAAGCCATCAATAGTCAGCTTTCTTACCTTCAGCAGGGCCCTGGCTATTGCAATCCTTTGTTTCTGCCCACCTGAAACAAATGGTAAAGGTAAGCTTAACGAAAATTCTTAGCAAATTTTCTAATTAGACAAATGACAATTTGAAGGTAATTTCTTCCATTTAACCATAACAGATAGGCAGTACAACAGAATTTTGTTTTTTAGACATACTTATAAATAGAAAAAAAACGAGCAATTACCACAATTAAGATATACTGAGGATTTCCTTCACAGAAGACATTTTCTAAGTGCGTGTGGCATGTTAACCTGTAACAATCATTCTTGGAGGCAGAGCCTATAATTACTTTCATTTTTACAGATAAAAACTGAGGCATAGCTAGGCATGGTGGCACAAACCTTTAATCTTAGCACTCAGACAGCAGAGGCAGATAGACCTCTGCAAGTTCAAGGCCTGCCTGGTCTACATAGTGAGTTTTGGGCCAGCCAGTGCTGCATTGCAGAGACTGTGTCCTGAAAACAAAAAACAACAATAAAACAACTAACCACACCACAAGACCCCTGAGGCACAGTGTGAAGTGTCACAGCTGGTAGTGGGAGGAGCCTACACCTACACTGATGTAAGGGTTTTCACTTCCAGCCTTCACTCACACATTTCTCTATAGTAGGAAATTACCAATACGGAGTCAGGTAGAAATATAAGGGTATTTAATAGGGAAAAGCCTTACTTACAGAGCGAACCAGCCAGCCGGTGGTAGTCTGTACAGCAAGCAGCCAAGAGAGAAACCGAAACCGAAAACACAGCCCCCCTACTCACTCTGACCATGCCCTTACAAGCCTGTCCAGGTACTCCTGTAGCCAGCCCCTAAGAAGGCGTGGCTACAGCTTCCCTTACATTCCTCCTAACATGATGGCACACTGAGGGAACTTGAAACCCCTTGGAAGCAAAAAAGAACCAGTGATGTTGGGTGCACATCTCCATTGCTCCCTGTTGCCACACAGCCTTCAGTCCTTCCCTTCCTGTGGTATTCTGCCTCCTTGCCCCATGGCAGCTTCCTGGAGGTTACAAAGCCACTCTTGTCCACTTTTCTTTTAAGCCCCAATTCCCCCATCCCACCCCAAGCCAGGGAACAGGTGGAATGTTAAGATGCAGGCTTGAAACAAGCAATGTAGCCATTCCCATCTGCCTTGTATCTGGCTCTTTCCCTCAAGTACTCATCTTCCAGCAGCCAGAACTCCCAGAGGCTCACACCTCCTGATGTGAGCCTCAATTCTACTTCAGTTGTTAACAGCACTACTTTCAAGTTGACTATGGATGGAACAACTTTATTCATAGTGATGCTGGGTAGCATGCCAGTTCATCCAGGTGTTTATCATATTCAACAGATGCTGAGGTGCCATACTCACATGGAGCCATCGTGGGATGCAAGGAATCCCCTGACTGGCCCTGTGCAGTAAGTGAGTGCCCCAGAATGGTCTTTGGAGCATCCTAGGGTGGGATCATGGAACAGCAACTAATGGCCTCTTGGAATGTTGTCCTCAACACCAACTAGTAAACTAAAAACCTATAATTGTCTATTCCTTTCAAACTGCAAAGGCCAAAGGCATTTGAGTGCAGTGGTATATGCCTATAGTTCTAGCACTTTGGAGGATGAGACAGGAAGATTAAACATTCTGAGCAAACCTGGACTATATAGTGAGATTGTGCCTCAAAAAACAAAAAGACTAAAGGACCTATAGCTTCCTTGACGGCAAAATGAAGCATGAGAATCCTGTTAAGATGTAAAAACATGCAGAAATTATTCCAAGGGAACAGGGGGCTGGCTTGAAAGATGAACCCCATGCTATGATGAATCTCTCATGATATCTAGCCACAACACCAAAAAACATGTTCCTGCTGCTTTTTATTTTAATCATGCAAAATAGTCACCACCTTTTTTGTTTCATTTATCCTCTGTGATCTAACCTCAGAGCTGGAAAGGGCCACTGTCAGGTCTAGCCATCAGACACCTTAGAGGATGAAAGTTCAGAACCTTTGGAAGAAACAGGTCTTAGCATTTGCAATGAAAAAAAGTTTGTGCTTAAGCAAAAATGTGCTTCCCTTTAGCTCCACCACAGGTGGTCCTACTCCACATTCTACAGCAAGTCAGAACAAGCTTCCCTTTCCCTCAAGAATGTGGTATCCACAGTGTGCAACTGTCTGCTAGACTTGAGGATGTCCCGGATGGTCAACTCTGCCTCCCAGAGATAAAGCCTTTCAACAGGCTTGGAGCCAAAGGCCACATAAGGATCACAGTCTTTTCACAAAGCCCTTGAGTGAAGGATGCACTTTACATTTTTCAAGAGTTCTTTAGGGAAATAAGCACAGGCTAGAAGTGTAGCTCTGTGATAGAAAGCTTGCCTACGGTGCTCAGGGCTCTGGGCTCCATCTCT